GATTGAGGTTCCCTTTCTATTCAACCGTTATTTTTACTAAGTCCCTTTTTGCAGGTTTTCCCATGACCACTAAGCTTTCAGCAATGGACGAGGACGGGGCTCCATCCTCACCTGTTAAACCCTCTACTTTGGGACAACCTGCCGTCGAGGCCGCTGCGAAGGAGGAGAAAAAGAGAAGAAAGAGGGGGTCTTTCGGTTCCCCGGACGCGGACGCCGAGGCCAAGAAGAAGAGGGTCGCGGTCCGGGGCTGAAAGAGCTACAAGAAGCGCACTCGAGCTAGGATACCGGACCCCGAATCCCTTCATTGGCTTAGGGAATACCCTGAAGATGACAACTTGGAGTTCGTCGCCCATGAGCTAGCCATTGTTGTAGAACAGCGGGCAGCACCGGAGGGAAGCGACCGGGAGGCTGAACTCTCCTCAGCAGGAGCCTAAGGGAAAGAAAGTGGCTATGACCTCTCGAGAAGCTAGTCCCACCCCGAGAGAAGCCGCCTATGTCACCGACATCCCGAAGTCACCATCTTACACAGAGTCTCTATTTGACGAGGCTCAAGCCTATAAAGAATATCCAACCGAGATGTCATGGGCCATAGATGAGGCCCTCAACTTGTGCTGGAGGAACTCCGGGTTCGGAGACCTGGAGATCCCGAAAAAGGATGCGTTGTCAGAGTTAGGCCGGCCGAGCTCGAGCCCAAAGCTGGTGAAGTAGTTCCCCGCCCCGAGCATGGATCCCGATCGTAAAATAACGGTTATGTTTACGATCTTGGTGGATACCCAAGTGTTGTCCGAACCATTTGGTGTTGTCAGCTACCTTCGCTGCTTGGTGACCGAGGAGGACCAACCAAAGATGAATGACGTGGATGTACCGAGCCTCTTCAACGAGGCACAACAAGCACTGAACAGGGTATGTTATTCTTTCGTTATATCTCGTAAAGGGTTCATTTAACCTTAGCATATTTTTATGATTTCATTGTTCTTGTTTCTCAGGCCTTGGTGCTTCACCATGAGAGCTTCCATAGGTCTCGAATGGAGGTGAGCCATCTCGAGCTTGAGCTCAAGGAGCCAGTACGGTAGAAGGACATGAATAAAGCTCTTAGTGAGCAAAGATATGAGGCCCTCAAGGAACTCCCCATCCTCCATGCAGAGCTAGAAAAAACTCAAAAGGAGGCCTTATCAGTGAAACGGGAGCATGCCATTCTGGTCAAAAAGGTAAGGGTAATTGAGATTAATAACGAAAGGCTAAGCACAGCTGCTAGCACCACAACCTCGCAGTTCTAAGAGAAGATAGACCTGATCCACCAGCTCCAGGCTGAAATGAACAAGGTCGAAGCCTCGGCTGAGGCGTTAAGGAGAAAGATGGACCTCTTGGCCTCGGGAAAGGAGGCTACCAAAGAGGATCTGGAATTGGCCAAGGACCAACTCTGGGTGATGAAAGATAAAGCCGACAAATGGTCTCGGCTAAATGATGAGCTCCGAGCACAACAGGACTCGGCCGTCTCGGAATGGGATGCCTTTGGCCAGGAGTACACCACATTGAGGTCCAAGCTGGAGGCGACTTCGAATGAGTCCTATGAGGTCCAGGATATGCTGGCCCAATATAAGAATGACGTGGAGGTGGCGAAGGCCCATATAATAAGGCCGAATACGTGAAATAGCTATCCTGAAGGGAGACCCTCGAGGAGATCCATGCCCGGGGGTTCAATCTAACGGTTGATATCGAAAAGTCTCGAGGCAAAAGTTAAAGAGGTATACGAGCCCGAGGGCTCGGGTAGCGATTCGGGCTCTGGCGAGGACTATGCGAAAAATACCTTAGTGTACTTTTTTTTTTCCTTTGTACATATTTTCTTTTTTTTATTATTTTGGGGACGCCTCACGTTGCCTCTGTAAATAATTTTAATATATATAAAAAAGTTCCCTTCGGCTATACTATGTTCTTTACTTTTCAGCATCAACCTTTTATTTAAAATATACCATGAATGCCTTAGCCTAGAACTTGTTATAATTTAGAGTGTTTTCTCCCCCAGAGTTTGAATGAGGCCTGGTTTAAGTAACAACTC